CTTTTCTATTCAATTTCCTTTTTTTTATTTAATTTTCAAATAGATCGTTAAGGTATAGTGGTTTCTTGAATGAACTTTCATTTTTAATTTTATGCAACTTCCATTTTTATGGATTTGCATCTGTTTTGGAGTGTGATAAGCTACCTCCAAGGACTTAGCTTGGAAGGACTTGGATTTTGAAGACTATTTTTAGTTATTTGTTTTTCATTGTTAGTACATGTAAACACTCAAGCCTAGGGCTTTATTTATATTTGAGTTAAGAATTCATACTTTTGTGTCCAAGTGTTGGCTTGGAAAGATGTAAGCCGTTAGGGCATTTAATTTGATGTTACATGTAATGTTTTTGTTTGGTAAGACTCTGATGGATATTATAATGAATTATTGAAGTGTTTTCCTTAAATAATTCATGTTATTGATATATATAATGGGTTAATTTTTGAGGGCGTTACAAAATTTGTTAAAAAAATTGATGCAAAGATGCCCTAAGAAGAGTTTATTAAACCCATATCACACAACATTGTCCAATGTTGAACAAAAATATTTGATTTATTTTGAGAGTGCATATAACATAGGTTATAATCACATAAATTACTTAGGCTAGTCTTTCAATTTTTTTTTTCTTTCTTGTTATCAGCAAAGAGAAGATGACGCAGAACATAACAAGAGAACACCTTTCAAAATCATATGCTAAAAACCCACAAAACACCCAACTACATGCAAAACACCCAAAAACTACACGAAAGCAACCCAATATACTGACCTCTCCATATAAACATTTTAACAAACAAATGGTAGGCATGACACAAATTTGATGTTCAGTCCTTCTTCCTATTCCGATTCCAACCATTGTAACTCTAGGCCACCACATCAACGTCCCAGATATTAGATTTTGATTAGAACCAAAACAATCGAAGTTTTTCATTTCTAGTAATTCCATTTCACAATAATGTTGTGTTTGGTACGGGTCTGAGCTTTTTGAACCCTAAACGAAAATATACAGAAATAGTGACAAAAGAAATAAATTTAAAATGGTGTGGGGAAAATAACCATTCCCATAATACACTAACTCGCATTGACAATCCATATGGAAAATAAAATACGCCTACAGACTGTCATTACCATCTAACCTCTGATCATACACTTTTACTCTGACCAACCCACTTGCATTAGGCGCGTAAAGGGGAAATATTTTATTAATATTTTATCAATCTTAATACACTTGTTTGTATCTCAACCTCAACTGAGAAAATAAATTAGGCAACGCAAGTTCAATACAACTAAAATCACTTGCTGAAACACCTTCAACAATACCAGTTTTTATATCGTCAACCTCCATCCATCTAAACATTACAAATAAAATTGCATATAAAAAAACAATCCTAAATAGTTTTAAAATACATTTGACTTTTTAACGTAATTTTGCATTCTTTTCCGTTAATAGTAGCAGCCACTAAATATATCATACCCTTATGAATACTCCCCACATTTCCTAACAACGTATCTTTGTAGTTCGTCCAAACATCCACTAGGAAGAACCGATCCACAATCTCTATTCCATGCTAAACGAACTCTTTGTCCTTTCCATCAACAAGCTTGAATCTCATTTTCTTCAGCATACGAAACCTATCGAATTGACCAGGATCAACAATCCAAGTCTTAGGATTATCCTCACCAACACCAATAAATATCTTGTTAGGTGTGGGGACGAAATCTGACGGACTATTATCACTTATGATGAAAAAAAAAACGTGATGCACCATAGCTTTTTCTTTTGCATCTTGTCCCAATTGAACATTCCCAATTAATTTTATACCTTAAACCACAATTTTGTCCGATTGACGGTCACATCTTTTATTTCCCAACTCAACCCCATTCAGCAATCTCGCCACATCTCTGTTGTCAAATTGAACGGTTTGGAATTTTTTTGTGCATTGTACCATGGCATGGAGGTGTGGATTTCCATCTTCGTGGAACTCTCTTACGATAAGTATGTAGTATGGTAGGTAGTAGGGGTGTGCACAGTGCGGTTCAGGCGATTTGAGAGTAAAATTACAAACCGAATGGCAGATTGGCGGATTAGCGGATTGACAAATTGCTGTTTGGATAGTTTTTGACGGATTGGTAGATTGAAAAATATTCTAACTAATTATCATACATTTACATAATATATAACACTAATTTGTATAATATTTTATATATATAACACAAAGAAAGTTTACATAATATGTTTCATATATATAACTACTAATTTGTAATAAATTTCATATTTTAAATCTCTCTTACACTCATTTTTACTTTGATATTTCATTGAAGGTTAAAAAACATATATGTATTAATTATAACGGAGTGGAGCAGTTTGAAAAGAGGATTATAAATTTTAAAGTTTAAACTGCGGTTAACGGTTAAAGTGGTGCGGATTAATGCGGATCGATGCGGTTTTAGCAGATTGAGATTTATTTTGCACAGCCCTAGTAGGCAAGCTAGTTGGAGAAATGATTGCAAGAGATCTAGGAGTTGTTCTTTTGGGCAAGGGCATTGTGGATAGGTGAGGAAAATATTTTTTGCATAGAAACAGAAAGAGGCTTAGCGAGGCATTTTGTAATGGAGAACAATAAACTCACACCAGCCATACAAGGCCTCTCTATTATGTAAAAAACCTGGTGTGAATGGTGTGAGTTGGTGTGACTTAGGGGAGCGAATCTGGGCCGTCCATTCATGGATGTTGGACACGTGTATGGTTGTGGTGTAAAGGAAGTCACACCCGGGCTTAGGTGTGAGTAGTGTGAGTACTTTTGATTCCTTATGGGTAGTGGTTTACACGTGTCACATGTATAATGGTTTGTGTGGTGTAACGCCCCAACCATTCACATGTCATTGATATTGTCTACTTTGGGCCACGCCAGCATGGATTTGTTCTTCCC